AGATTATCACCCGATGAATCCACCGACATAAATTTGAACTGCGAACCCGTTGCATCGAACCACTCATTGGTTCACGCATGATTCAACGTCTTTATGGACCAATCGGGGCCCACAGGTCCGTTTAAGAAATACCCCGGCCTATCAGGGGCCCCTGATCAACCCATCCCAGCTGCCAGGCGACGCGCAATCCCCTGGGGTCTAGGACAGGGGTCCGAGACTGCGCGCCGGGCACGGAGGGCCAGGGTGTGCGCTCCCGCAGAGTCGGAGCATGCCCTGCAGGGCCCTGGCGCGCACCCTGCTGGGCTCTGGCCGAGGGTCCGAGCCGGCCCTGTGGCGCAGACACGTCTGTCCAGCGGCCGGCCCGTCGAGCTCCTACTTGTGTTGGCAGAAGAGAGAGGAGAAAAACAAAACTTTAAAACTCTCCTACTTTAAAACAACAACAACAACAACAACAACGACACGAGGACTGTATCGCATGGAGGGTCCTGTGATAAAACCGCTTTAAGAAATCGTATTTTAGAACTAAGTCGTCATATGGGCTGACGATTTGACAGCTTTCTGGGACAGCTGTGCTGTAAAGCCCTTTCTAACGTGAAGAAATCTGGGACAAATCTCTCAGGTCATTACATCTCAGAATAAGACCCTTTTAACTGCTGCCAAAGCCGCCTTCTTTTTCCCTGCGTGGTCTTGCTCATCTGTCAGACAGGTGCACACGATCAGAGCTCCTGGGTACATATCTCTAGCCCGATCCCAAGTGAACATTACGCTGGATGGGATTACAGTCAAAGGCGGCTCCTGACAAGTAACACATGGTACATGGTTTTAAGCAGAAAAGGGGCGGGGGTCTGGTCTCCCCGAATGCACCTCTGCAGCCAGAGAGGAAGACGTGTTTTCTTTATAACCCCGCAATTGAACAGGCACATCGTAACAATAACAATACTAATTTTTCGCCATGACTAGGCTTTTGATTTCTGAGTTTATAACCCTATTTACAACACCCCCCCTCCTCAACCCCCTTGGTTCATCCTGAATGTATATGCATGTCATCGCTCCCGAAGGAGCTGTGCTGCACAGGATAGAAAACAATCTAGAAATTATACGTATTTTTGTTCAGCGAGCAGCTCTCCTTTCGAAGGCCATGGGGAGGCGCAGTGAATGGCTTTAACCCGCTGGGAGTCCCGTAGCAGTCGAATGGTGTATTAGTTCAACACAGCGCCGTGTGTCTGCGCGGAGGAGACACACAACTCTGCATGGATGGAATTTTCTAGGAGATTTGAGTTTTGAGGCACAGAAGCAGCCCGATGGAGTCTGTATTGACCCCCCGCCTTGTTTGCGCCCGTTCTTGGGTGCTCCTTCCTGGCGGGTCTTTCCAGACTGTGTTAACGCCGCTGTGTGTGTGTGTGTGTGTGTGTGTTTTTCAGGTGGAAGGGTGAAAACCTGGAAACGAAGATGGTTCATCTTGACGGACAATTGCCTGTATTACTTTGAATACACGACGGTACGCTGCCTCCTTGTGGACACGAGTCGGTACGCATGGCCTTGCGCGCCTGTGGCGCTGAATCTCTCCGTTCTCTCTCCCGCAGGACAAGGAGCCCCGTGGGATCATCCCATTGGAGAACCTGAGCATTAGGGAGGTTGATGAACCCAGGAAGCCTGTAAGAGCCCAGTTACACTGCTGTTGTGTTCCTTGTAATAGAATTTAGGCAATGAAGAGTCTCTCATCTACTTCATTGCAGTGCTTTTGTGTCGCAAACACCTTACTTATTAGATTGTTCCTGATCAATTAATCAATTAAGAAGTGCTCAGCCGTGCAGTATCCATGTGGGACCGCCCAGCCCTTGTGTGTGCAAGGCTCCTTTTCAAAACTGCGCTCTGCCTCCGTGTTGGCTGTGAGACGCCTACATCCGCAGAAGGAAGGTGACCCCCGCGCGCCGCGCGCTCTGCGCTCTGTGCTTTCAGAACTGCTTCGAGCTCTACAACCCCAACCACAAGGGGCAGGTGATCAAGGCGTGCAAGACGGAGGCGGACGGCCGGGTGGTGGAGGGGAACCACGTGGTGTACAGGATATCCGCCCCCACGCCCGAGGAGAAGGAGGAGTGGATCAAGTCCATCAAGTAAGGGCCCGGTCTCCGGGGCAGTGTCCCAGGCTGCAGCGGGGACAGGCCCGGGCGCTGGGGGCGCGGCCGACTTGCAGACCTGCTGGGCTGAGCCGCAGACGGGCCGCCGGTCTGCTGTCTGTCGCCACCCCGCGATGCCCCCGTCGCGTCAGTTCACCCGGAGGGGCAGGTGGTTCAAAAAGGGCCACTTCTTCAGTGGTTCAGCGGTTCTGCGACAGAAAACAAACACAATTTAAAGGCAAACCCAAGGAGGCTGTTTTGTAGCGCTAAGCCTCATTTCTGAGCAAACGATGATATTAGATGGAATTAAAAAGAAGCGTTAGCCTGTGAATTCAGTTCACATCACACCCCACTGGCCTCTGGCCTTGAGTAAGAGAAGTGCCCTCTTCGGCATTCGGAGACGCACAGAGGAGTTAGGGGCCTTCAGTCGCCCCAGCCCTCACGCCTGGGAGAAACGCCACAGTGAGCTAAACGAGTGCTCCCCATGCTCCTGTATTGTATTTTGTATTGCTCCTGCAATACAAAATACTTTTTGGTTTCGAGGAGGGTGTCGGCATGAATCGGTCTGGAAAGTCTCCTGCCTGTGTTCTAACTGTTGTTGCTTAAAACGTGAGGCCTTGATTTAAAGCACGTGAAACTTCTGACTTGTTTTGTACGGAACACAAAACTCGGGGCATGTTAAGCTGCATTATTTCCGTTTCCAGTCTTTTTAATGGAATTGTGTAGGAAGAGATTCGATTCAGTGCAGAACCTGCGGCTGCTGTCCCTCTAGACACTGGAGCAGAGCTCCAGTGTGGCACCGGATGAAATTCCGTGCAATTTCTCTGGGAACCGGGAAATCTGCAGAAACCATGGAAACAAAACTGGGTCATGAAACAAACTTTTTTTTTAATCTAGTTAAGCGGGGGTTTGTATGAATGTGCTTGCATTTCCATATCAAAGGCATCCATATTTCCAGCTGTATGACTTATTTATTTTCCCTCCCAGAGCGAGCATCAGCAGGGATCCTTTCTACGACATGCTGGCCACCAGGAAGAGAAGAATAGCCAATAAGAAGTAACCTGCTGCCTAGCGGCGGACCCGTGCGGAGCTGTACGTGCAGTGCAGATTCAGAGACGCAGGAATTTGCTGCATTTATAACACGAGATCCTGGGCAAGAGGACCATGGACTGATAACAGGCAAGGGGATGAAGGAACGAAACACAAGACAGGCCCCACTCATGTTTTGTCTGCTTATATACTTGGTGAACCAGGAGACGCTGGACAAGAAAAGTAAAAAAAACACCTGCTGTGATGAGTGACACATGGGTACTCATTATTGTGGGAATGTTTACCCTCTGTGTACTTGTATTCGAGGTGGTTTGCTTGTCCAGTTATATGTATCATGTGCATGTATCTATGTATACATGCATTTCTGTTTATGTAATGTGTACATACTTATATCCACACACAGAGAACGAGATTGAACCTTTGTACTTTTTCTTTGTAAGAAAATAAAACTACAGTTTCTTTAATTGACGGGCATTTTTGGACGGCACTGAAGATGCATGCTGTTGATCGGTGATCAGTCTTGAAGGAGAAAAAGTGCTCTTAGAAACTTGCAATCTGTTCATCTTTCAAAAGCTGGAAATCTCACACAGGGAGGCTCACAGTGGTACCTGGCATAGCCGTGACCACAGCCCCAGAATGTGTACTGAATGCAGCTCCTGAAAAGCACTAGATGAATTCAGTCACTTGACCAAAAGAGGCTCTAGATTTACCTACTGCTCTTCAGGTCAGGGATCTTTCTCTACAACACTTTCACAGCCACATTGTTGGCACAAGAGGGTTCTTATTGACAAGTGCACGTCCGATGCCATTTCGTCTACTAATATTCCAGAGATATATAGCTAGTATATAAATCTATAAAAGGTCAGAGGAAAATTTCATAGCAGTCTGAGTCAGCTGGACTGATTTCATCTTAAAAAAACAACAACACTTTATTAGTTTTCTTTCTTTCTCGGTGAAACATGGGGTACCAGCCAGTTAATTAAGCTTGTCTTACAGAACTCCCTTAAAGAAGGCAGCATGAGCAGTGCAATCAATACAACTG